GTTCAATTTCCCAGCTGTTTCTACAATAATTAAACCTTTCTGCAACCAATTGCATCAACACATTCCTTCAATCACTCATCAACAACTCCTTAACTTTATCGTAAACTTCATAAATTGCATCAATCTCAAACTATTTACCTTCTTCAACCAGATACGCAGCACTCTGGATCGATAATCTTAGTGCTAAAGCATCATCACAATTTGCTACCGCATCACGCAATTCCTTCTGATCCACTAGAAATTCCATGCACTCGGCTTTAATCTTTTCGATGTTCACATAATCTATCATCTGAAATCTTATTTTTCAATTGAACTCCATCACATTACTCATCACTGAAGAACCTTAAAATGCTTTATAACAATTACATTCTCTAACAACAATAATCTCGATGACAATTAGCCTTCCATATGCTAACAATAAGCTCATCAATTCAGTGCTAATCACCACTCGCCTGTTCAAATGATCCCAACAACTCTAGTGCGTCTGTTTCGGACGTTAATCGCATTGTACTCAATCTATTTCCAGTCAACTCCGCCAGCATGTTCACCGTCGACGCCTTTCCAACGTTCGACTTTCCAGTCAATAACGTCAACCAATTCATTTGAACGCATACGGCCACTTCTTCAAGCAGTTGCATCTGTGACGATAGCAAATACCTTAAGTTCATTGTTGCAACCATTATGTTCTTTTTAGCACATTCAATAATAATACAAACCGTTGTATTGTTTTTAACTGCGCGGGTGATAAATATTTTTATCAATGATAATATATGCCGTTCTGAATCATCTACCACCATGCGCCTCATAAACGAGCAAAGTTTCAAGCTATTCAATAGTTGAGGCAGTACATTCGTCGTTTCGTTCCCATGTCAGATCCGAATTGTACTCTTTTAATTCAATTTTCAAAAAACAAATATTCAGTTGAATTGAATTACTCGAAGATTTTTGCTTTCATAATTCACAGCATTGAACATTTTCATTTCATCCTACTAATCAGTTTCTTACTTGTGCGATGGCAAAACAGAGAAGGTGACATCGTCTCTGCGAGGCAGTTGAACTTTGCCGATACGTACACAAGTTTTAGAGAGGG